TAGGACTACCTGGCAGGGCAAGTATCATCTGGCTCTCGGCTGTGCTGGAGAAGGCAGTGTCAGTCTGTCTGCCTGTCTCTGGATAGCATGGCTGTCAGTTGGTCCTGCTTACGTCAGTGTCCCCAGCAACAGCTATCCCACCAGAATGTGACATGTGAGGCCCCTGGCTGTTTCAGGGGTGAGGGCATCAGTCAGTCTGTCTCCACCTGGAATGTACGTCTGTCAGTCCCTGGTTCTGGCTGGGGCGGGTGTTGTTCAGCCTCAAGCTGTGTCACAGAGAGAAGACATCAGCCAGGCTGTCTCTCTCTGGCTAGCACATGCCAGTTGGATGGCATCCATCCTCAGGTAGGAGCATCAGTTAGTTCACCTGCCGTGAGTTGGGCTATGTCAGTAGGGTTCTGGCTCTGTCAGGGGACATCAGTGAAAATGCCTGACTCCAGCTCTTGAAACACGTTCGTTAGATTCCAGCTCTACTGCGGAGGGGCAGCAGCCAGAACACCTGTGACTGGCTGGGACATGTCCATGGCACCCAGGTTCTGGAAGGGAGGCAGTCAGATTGCCTCTGTTTGGCTGGGGGCGGGGTGCAACTGAAGGCTTGCCATGCTCACCTGGTGCTGCCGGTACAGCAGGGGGACAGTGAATAAACCGATCACTCCTGCGGGTACAGAGATGGAGGTCAGGGTGCTCCCAGGAGATAAACAGCTCCGTCTGGAGCCCTGTCCTCCACCAAACCCCAACACCCCCGCTCCCCGCCTTGCCCCCACAACCTTCCCAGCTCACCCAGAATGAGAAGGGTCAAACCATTGAAGACGGCACCCACGAAGGTCAAGATGTAGAACAGAAGGGCCAGCTGGGGGCGAGGGAGAGGGTGAGCGGACCCACAGGGCACTCCCGGCAATGGCCCTCCCACCCCCTAGGGGCACAGAGGTGAATGTTGGGAACCCAGGAGGGGACGAGGGCTTCAGGGCACCTTGAGGGAGTCCATGAGGTCTTCTACCAGGAAGAAATGCCGCAGCTGCGTGGCCGTAGAGACCATGCGGAAGGCAATCTGCTGGGATAAACGTTCCATCTGCTCCCGAGTCAGGGTTAGGTCCACGTCCAGGTAGGCCCTGAGGGTACAAAAGGGTGTGGGGTGACTCAGTGGCAACAAGCTCAGACTGGTGATGGGGCGTGGGGTGGCTGCAAACGGGCAAGAAACGTGGATTGCAGAGAAGACCAGAGTTAGGACTGAGGCACAAATCAAAGGAACCACGTGTAGAGGGCTGGAGTCAAGGTCAGGGTCAGGAGAAAGGATCAAGGATCAAGGGTACAAAGTTAGGATCAGAGATTAGGGTTGGTGGGGGTTGGATTAAAGGATCAGGATGAAAAAAGGAGCAGATGGGTCAGGGCCAGGGTGAGAGTTAGTGCCTGATTTGCGGTCATGGGTCAGCGCTGGGGTGTGGACGGGGCTTAGGGTCAGGGGCCAGGGGTTCTCACTGGAAAGGGTTGGCGCCATCCCCCCGGTGCACGGCCTGCAGCACTTTGCGGTAAACCCTGAGAGAGATGGTGCCGCAGAGCAGCAACAGAGCCACGTGGGCGGCCACGGACACGATGCTAAAGTGCAGGAGGCAGAGGAGGGAGACCATGAGGCCTGTGAAGACCACTCCCGACGTCCTCGTGTCCTTCCAGTACAGCAGGTCCGCCACTGTGGAGGGGTGGGGGGCATCAGGCTGGGGCTTGTACCTGACCTGGCTGATCTCTTGACTTCCCTTTTCCTGTCCCACGGCTGAACCATGACTTCTGGACCCACCTGTTTGAGCCTTAACCCTATTTCCAAATTTTTAGTGACCTCTTTTATTCCATGCTTGTCTCCCTTCTTCTGGAAAAGGAAACTTAAGCATCTAGCAAATCCCCTTAATCTTGCTCCTCCCCGTATAATTACCTGTGGACACATAAGTACAAACCGATGCATCCTGGTCATTATTTATGAAAATGGAATTGTAGATACGCTTTTTTACATCATGTATCTCTCACTCCACTGTTCCTCCTAGAATTCCTTCCTAGTCAACCAGAATGGCTCTTAATTCACTATTTTTGAGAACTACATGGCACTCTGCGGTGTCGCCATCGTTCGTTTTATTCAGCCATGTACCTGTTGCTGGGTCAGTCCCTGTTTCCTAATTCCTCCTCTGCAAAGAGTGCTGCAAGCAACACTTTTTCACAGATATTCCTACCTCCTGGAGCTTCTATTTTCCACGGTTGGAATTGCTGGCTGGACTGGTTATGTATTTATTAATGTCATAAATTTTGTCAGATTGCTTACTAGCAAGATGTCAGTAACGATTCTTATTTCCACAAACAGCATGAGAGTGATCTTTTCCCAGCATCCTACCCAGCAATGGATATTATTGTTTTTTAACTTTTGCCAACCTGATAGGGGTAAAGTGGTATCTCCTTAATACCCTTACCAACACATTTTTCTATGTCTTAAATGTATTAATAACACCATACTCCTTTCTAAGCCCTAACACAGATTTCTGACCCCTTTCTGAGACCCTAAGCTCATCTCCGAACTCCCAAGCTGTATCTGAACCCTGACCAGTGACCTCTGGACCCAAATGTTTCATCTCATCCATCTAAAGTTTTTTTGTTTTTGTTTTTTTCCTTTTTGACACATCTATGGTTGTAATAAACTTTGAAACTCCACTCCCATTTGAACGCTGACCCAGAAGCTCAATACCCTCCTATTTCTTTCGAGATCCTCTCCCTTCTCCCACTCTCGCTCCAATCAAACTGGCCCATCCCACTGGCCTCTCTCAGAGGCTGACCTCCCTCACTTACTCACACACAAACTCCCATTTCCTCTAAATAGGGTAGCCCCCTTCCCTCCCCAAGGCAGGGCCCTCCAGGGCAGACTTGGGGAGGCACGCGCCAGTGGGTGGGGGAGGGGCCAGGTCGCCCGAGGCGGGGTCTAAGTTTAGGCACGCTGGGGGGAGGGGGCCTCACCCGCAGCTGTGCTGGCACGTCCAGCCTCTGAGTGACAGTGCCGCCTGGGCCCAAGGCTGGGGGAGGGGGCCTCCCTGTTCCTGGGCCCCAAAGCCTTGGCTCGAAGGAGAGGGGACCCCACGCTCCCTCCACAACCTCCCTAGACGCCCCCTTGATCCCCCAGCCCCAGCCTGCAGCGCCGGGGACTCAGAACAACAGGAAACATATCCCAAATTTGAGGGAGATAAGAGCGAATCTGGACCCCTTTCCGCCAACCCCCAGCCCGGGTCCAGACCGCCCCACAAGCCCACCTTTACTCCCCATCTCGGCTCCGAGTGAGAGGCCGCGGACACCGCTGCTTCTCGGGGATTTTACCCACTTCAGTGGAACCCGGAGGAAGGGAGTAGGGAGGCGGGGCCCCTTTGTACCCAGCCAATGGCTGTCCATAGAGGTGGGGACAATTCCAAAATTGGAACTCTCTTGTAAACAGGCAAAAGCAGTGATGTCTACGACCAACCCTTGGCCGTTCCTGGAGGCGGAGCATATTTTAAAGTAAGGCTGGGTCTCTTTACAACTGGCCAACAGATGTAGTCAAGGAAAAGAAGAGTTTTAAAAAGGCCTGGAGTTTGGCCAGGTGCGGTGGCTCACGCCTGTAATCCTAGCACTCTAGCAGGCCAAGGCGGGAGGATCACATTAGGTCAGGAGTTCGAGACCAGCCTGAGCAAAAAGGCAAGACCCCCCCCCTCCGTCTCTACTAAAAAATAGGGGAAAAATAATTATCTGGGCAACTAAAAATAGAAAATTAGATGGGCATGGTGGCTCTATCCCAGCTACTCCGGAGGCTGAGGGCTGAGGCAGGAGGATCGCCTGATCCCAGGAGTTTGAGCTCGCTGTGAGCTAGGCTGGCGCCACGGCACTCTAGCCCGGACAACAGAGCCAAAAGGCATAGAGTTTACTTGCAAATGTCCCATGGCCACATCTAGGAAAGAGCTTTAGTTTTTCAGGTATTTGGCCTGTACAAAATAAACCTCTAGGGGGAGCACTCCAAAAGAGGGAGGAATATTTTATAGCAATCAGCCAATCCTAATGCTCGAAGAAGGGCTAACTCTTAAGTGGGCGGGGAATCATATCTAAAGAGCCAATTGTAGTCTCAGATAACAGGAACATTTTTAAAAGGCCGGCGTTTATGAAGTCTAGCCAATAGCAATACCTCTTGTCTGCTCCGCTAGCCTCTGTTCCTTTGCGAGGTTGGTCCCTTCAAATGCCAATCCTCACACTTTGCCTCGCTGTAGTCCAATGGAACACCTTCTCACTCGCTGCTTACCTAGAAGGTGTGGCCCCAACGTAAATGCTGATTGGTCCGTGCTATCCACACACTGTCCCCTGATTGGCTCCCGCTCCAGCTGGCCCCACTGCTCTTCTGCTTCCAGTGAGCGCTCATCAGGACCGGAGTTCGAATCTCGAGATCTGGGTGGGGATGGGGTACCCGCCTGGGGGGTCCCAGAGCCCGGACTGGGCTGGGGAGTCAAGACCTCTGGCGGTGAGGACTGAGCAAGTCGGAGTTGTAGGTCCAATTCTGGCGTGGTAGAGAGAGAAGGCCGTGAGCTTTCTCCTTGGAGGTGCCCTGAGGAGAGACGACCCACCCACCCCTCTTGGCTTTGGTCCCAGCACCTCGGATATCTCACCTTCCCCAGCTTCTCCCACCTCCGATCCGTCGGGTTCCTCGTCTTCCAGCGGAGTGGAGCTACTGGTGGCAGAGTCCTCCCCGGATCCCGCTCCCCGGGCCGCCCAGCCCAGCTGGTCCAGACGGAGTCTCAGGTCCTCCAGGGGCCGCTCGGCCAGGGGAGCGGTGTCCGGATCACCACGGCGTCCGGGCTCTGGGGATTGGCTCAGGCTGGGGATGCTCTCCAAGCTGTCGCCCAGGCCGGGCTGAGGGGGAGGGTCTCGTGGTTCTGAGACTGAACGGCCCTGGGGCCGGGGGCGGCGGGCAGCTGAATCCCTGCGGCCCCCGGAGCCCACTATACCATCGAAGGCGATGTAGGAGAAGGTCAGCTCCCGGGGGGTGCCCCAGTCCTGCGAAGTAGTCTCCTCCTCCTCGTCCTCCGAGAATTCCCGGGCTGTGTGCAGCTCCCGAAAATCTGAGTCGTCGTTCCCTCCTGCATTGGGTGAAGGAGAACCACGTAAGCTTCTCTGAGCAGGACTCTGACCTGCCTAGCAGTGACCCCCTCACATCCTCCCCATCCACCTACCTTCTGTGGAATCAGGGGTAGAGGAGGCTGTAGACGGAGCTTCTTCTGTGAGAGGGAAAGAATCGAAGACTCTTAGAAGCTTAGACTCTCCGAATCGCAGAAGTGTGCCAGTCCTGGAATCTTGGATGGCCCGAATTAAGGAATCTTAGAATATGTGAATCACGGGACTTTTAGAACATTCTGCATACAGACTGTAAACCTCACTGCCATCAGAGGCTCAGAGTCTTAGAAGTGCAAAGCCAGGAACCTTAATCATAGAATCTTCAAATTGGGAATCTTAGAAAGTTTCAATTCATTCTTTCAACAACTATTTATTGAGCACCTACTATGTGCCAGGCACTGTTCTAGCCCCTAGGGATACAGCTGTGAATAAAACAGACAAGATCCTTGCTCTCATAGAGCTAACACTCTGGAAGAGACAGACAATAAAGTGAATATTTCATGTTGGGTGTGGATGAGTGCATGGAGTAAAATAATGCAAGGTACTCATGAAAGCAAAGGGGTGCTGTTTCAGACAGCATGGTCAGGAAGGCTTCTCTGATAAGATATTTGAGCAGAGACCTGAATGAATGAGGAAGCCATGCACATGTCTAGGGAAGAATCTTCCAGGCAGAGGGGAAGGGCAGTGCAAAGGCCCTGATGCAGGCGTTATGCTTGGCATATCTGAGGAACAGAGCAACTGATGGGCAGAGCGATGGGAAATGAGGGAAGAGAGGTAAGAGGGGGAGATCAGCAGGTCCTTCCTTTGTAATCCAAAGTAAGGACAAGATCTTAGAATGTAAGGATGATACTCCAACATGTTGAAACCACAAATTCTTAGAATTGTGGCATCTGGACACTCAAGACATGCAAGTAGCTAGATCTGAGAGTGTTGAAATCCCCAGCTGTCAGACCCCTGGGTGTGGGACAGAGAACGGTTGACATGGACTGTTACAGCCTTGAGCTCAGAGATTGTGGGGATCGGGCCAAGAATTTTCAATCGGAAATCCAGCCCTTCAGAGCCAGCCTGGGGCTTTGCACACAGGAGATGCTCAATACTGTTTGGAAATTGAAATCTGACGCCCCCCCTCGCCCCCCTCAGCTGAGGAATCAGAGGGCTGGAGCAGAGTGGGTCTTCCCCAGGTTGCCACTAATCAGCGGTAAAGCCTGCTAAGGTCCCATAAGTCCTTGCCCCAACCCAGGGATGGCTGTTTTCCGGGCACAGGGGCTTGGACAATTTGGGCGAGGTCGGGGGTGCCTCTTGGGCAGAAAACAGGGGTAGGATTCGAAGACAAGTCATGGGGAGTCTGACCCCTCTTCTCCATCCTGGCTCTACTCCTCCATTCAACCCCTCCCCTCCAGCTGCGGCCAGCACCAGAGCCAGGGGACAGCTCCCTGCGCGCGTCCTCATCCCCCGGCGGGGCCAGGCGATACATCCCAGCGCCCAGCGCGCCCCTCGCCAGATATCTCGGTGCCCCCTACCTCCGCCCTGTTTCACCCGGGTCCTCCGGGTCATGCTGCCCCAGTCGCCGGCCAGAGCGCGGGGGGAGGGGAGAGCTTCCTTTGTCTCCTTCGCCTCCTCCCCCATCCCAGCTCTCCCGCGGGCAGGCGCGGAGGGGATACCGGGGAGGAGCCCACCTGGCCCTCTGGGCCCCACACCAGGCCCAAGCTTCCCTCTACTCACTGCAGTGGGCGAAGACCGGCAGGACCTGCCCCATGGCCCCCCTCGGGCCTGCATCGGGACCCCCGCCCACTCCGGCCGCGCCGACCTGGGCCCGGGGCCGCTGGAGCTCATCTCCGCCGCGCCCAGGACGCCGCCGCCATCGTCGCCGCCTCCGCCTCCCCGGCCGCTCCAGCAGCCGCCGCCGCCGCCCTCTGCTCGGCTCGGCTCGGCGGGGGCGGGCGGGGCAGCGGTGGGAAGGCACTGCAGCGCGGGGCCGGGGGCGGGGCCAGAGCACAGGCCGGGCGGGACCCGAGGGAGGGCGAGGGGGCGGGGAAACAGCGAGGAGCTCGCGTAGGAGGGGCGGGGCTTTTTTACTAGAGGGGCGGAGCTAGGGGTGGGCGACCGGACCAGGACGAAGTGGAAAGCGGCCTGGAGGGCGGGGTCTACACGCAACGGGAGCGGCCTTTAGGGGAAGAGGGGTGGGGCCTAGGGTAGGTGAGAGGCCAGGGAGAGAAAGGTGAAGGAGCATTGGCGAGAGGATGGGGGCCTGGATCTCAGAATGGGTTGGGGCGGAGCTAGTCACTGAGGAGTGGGTAGGAAGATCCTAAGGCTCCGAGGTTAGATCCGAGCCTTGTTTCGCAGAGGCAGTGGGAAAGGGGGCGGGAAGAAACGACTCAAACTTTTGAGGCAAGGGCAGGAACTCAGACATGGGTGGGGCTTAAACCAATTTATAGTTTATTCAAATAATCGGACGAGGTCGGAGTTAGAAGCGATGCCAAGACTGTGAAAACTGGAAGGGTCTGAGGCCGTGTGCTTGAAGGGATGGGCGAGACTTGGAAGAGAAAACGACCGAAGGACTGGGGGAGGGGACCACAGGGGAGGGGTCCAACTAAGGAAGTACAGTATTTAAAGGTTTTCAGGCTGGGGGGCTGTACCAATGAGGTGGGCGGAGCTTGGACTGAGCAGGGCTGGTACCTGAAACCATGCATGTTGTGTTGAGAACAGATTCTAGAGTTAATTTCCCTGTAACACCGATTACTTCTGTGACTCAGTTTCCTCTTCCCGTAAATTGGAGACGAGGACGTATAATGGTGTGTGACACACGGTAAGCGCTATGTAATAGTTTGCTACTACAGTATTACCATTTTTCCTAACCCAGATCGCAAATCCCGCTTTGAAGGTGCGGAAGAGTGGAAAACCAGAAGTGCAGTTCCTCCTAGTGACCCGACTTAAGTGCAGGTCAAGGGACAGGAAGGAGATTTAGATAGTTTCAAATCTCACAGCGGAGGGGATTAATGGAGGGGGGGCAGGTGTAGAGGGTGGAGCCTTCCTGATCCCAGGGCTGAAGGATGGCGGCCCTTGTTCGCCTGCTGGAGCGTCTCCTCTGGCCTGCTCGCAAGGAAAAGGAGGAGGTGGAGGAGGAGGAGGAGGGGGAGGCGGGGCGCAGGGCCCTCGACGGGCCTCAGTCTCTCCTGGCCGCGCCACGGTGCACCCAGCAGCCACACGGGGGTGCCGCGGCGTCGTGGGGGCTGCGCTTCGGGGCCAGCGCAGCGCAGGGCTGGCGCGCGCGCATGGAGGACGCGCACTGCGCTTGGCTCGCGTTACCTGGGCTGCCCCCTGGCTGGGCTTTCTTCGCTGTCCTCGACGGCCACGGAGGGGCGCGAGCTGCTCGCTTTGGCGCGCGCCACTTGCCAGGCCACGTGCTCGAGGCGCTGGGCCCGGCGCCTGGCGAGCCCGAGGGCGTGCGCTGGGCGCTGCGCCGAGCCTTCTTGAACGCAGACGAGCGCCTGCGCTCGCTCTGGCCCCGCGGCGAACCGGGTGGCTCCACGGCGGTGGCATTGCTTGTCTCCCCGAGCTTTCTATACCTGGCGCACTGCGGTGACTCTCGCGCCGTGCTGAGCCGTGCCGGCGCTGTGGCCTTCAGCACCGAGGACCACCGGCCTCTCCGGCCCCGGGAACGGGAGCGCATCCACGACGCGGGCGGCACCATCTGCCGCCGGCGCATCGAGGGCTCTCTGGCTGTGTCGCGAGCACTGGGGGACTTTGCCTACAAGGAAGCTCCGGGGAGGCCCCCGGAGCTGCAGCTCGTTTCCGCTGAGCCCGAGGTGGCCGCACTGGCACGGCAGGCTGAGGATGAGTTCATGGTCCTGGCCTCTGACGGCGTGTGGGACGCTATGTCTGGTGCTGCCCTGGCGCGGCTGGTGGCTTCCCGCCTCCGCTTGGGCCTGGCCCCAGAGCTTCTCTGCGCGCAGCTGTTGGACACGTGTCTGTGCAAGGTCCTGGGGGGGCGTGGCATTATTGAGGCTTGGTGCACTACAGGGAAGAACCGCTGGGGCTTGGATGGAGAGGCTAGAATATAGCTAGAGAAGGAGGGGGTGGGGCTCGACCAAGGGGCGTGGCCTGCTGGAACGGGCGGGGCCAAAATGTGGGGAGGGCGGAGCTTGAGGGCTTTGAGGCACAATGGGAGAGTAGTAGCGCTGGATAGGTGAGTGGGAGGGATTTAAGAGAAGGGGTGAGGTCTTTTGGAACAGGACCGTTGTAAGCCTTAGGGCCAGGGCACGAGGTATGATTAAGTGCCGGAAATGGAAGAGCAGGTACACAGCAGAGTAGGCGGAACTCGGAGAAGGAGCGTGGTTATCTTTTAATATTAAATAGGACGAGCCTGGGACAGGGCGGCGGCGCGATCTAAGGGATTGGGCCAAGTGGGAGAGGACTGGCAGGTGGGTGGGACCTGAGAGAAAGGGGCATAACCAGATCGAGGAGGGGGGACTTGAACATCCGGACTGCTGGGGAAGCTCTGCCTTCAACTATGTCCCACTGGGCTCCCTTTTCTTCACCCTCTTCAGGGCAGCCTGGACAACATGACCTGCATCCTGGTCTGCTTCCCTGGGGCTCCCAGGCCTTGTGAGGAGGCGATCAGGAGGGAGCTGGCACTGGACACAGCTCTGGGCCGCAGAGTCGCTGGTGAGCAGGCACACGGAGTAGGAGGGGCAGTTGGCATGGAAGGACTCTCCCATAACTCTTGCCTTTTTCTCAGAGCTGTGTGCCTCTGCTCAGGAGCCCCCCAGCCTAAACACAGTTTTTACGACTCTGGCCTCAGAGGACATCCCAGATTTACCTCCTGGGGGAGGGCTGTACTGCAAGTGAGTTAGGGTGGGGTGGAGTGGGGTGGAATGGGGGGTGGGGTGGTAGGAGAACGGTCCCCTTCTGAGGGCCTTCCTCTGCTCTCCAGGGCCAATGTCATCGCTGAAGCTTATTCTCAGCTCTGCCAGGCCTCGGAAGAGTGCTGGGAGGTAAGGACCAGCACTCGAATGTTTCTCTTAGGAGCATTTAATCCAGCCCCCCTACCCCTCTTAGTGGTGGGGAAATTAAAGCCAGTAAGGACAAGGGACTTGCCTGATGCATTAATACATTCTCACTCCTGGTCCTGAAACACTGTGCTAGGCATGATGGGAGGATGCAGAAAAGAAGAAACTGTGCTTCCCTTCCAAGAAATGTAGCCCCTGTAATGCTCTGTAAAGTCCCCCATCCCAAGCACGTCCCCACACCCAGGCAGAAAAATTCAGGGAATGTTAATGACCAATTCTAAGACCCAGATGCACAGAAGATACCATCAGGACATCTCTGAGTGTGGTCCAGGTCTTGGACGAGAGAGGCTGTAATTGGGATCAGATAGCAGAGGGGAATTTGGAGATGTCCAAAGAGGTGAAGGTGCACCAAGGGGTGGGGGTCAGGGAGGAAATGTGAGGGAGGAAGCTGGGCCCAGAGTCCCGTGGCCTTTGCATGGCAGAGAAGGAAGCTTGCTGAATATTATGTGGATGACAGGGGACCGTTGATAATTTCCCAGCAGCATAAGGAGGTACTTGTCAGGATTCTTTGAGTGGTAAGTGACAGAGACCCAATTCAACCTGGGAAAGCAAAATGGAATTTACTGGACCATGTCATTGAAGAAGTCAGGGTTTTAAGGCATGTCTGCATCCAGTTGTCAGAGGACGTCTTTTAGTTTTATTTCCTCTGAGTTGGCTTGAGTTCCTTGCAGGGTCTCTCATGGGGTAGTAGAGAGTTGCATTTCCAGGCGCACATCCCACCAGCCTGCCATGCCCCAGCAGAGGGAGAGAGCTAGCCAATTTCCCAGTAGTTGCCTCAGTGGTCCTACGGCTGCTCCTCATTGGCCACGCTGGGTCACGTGCCTGACCAGTCACTGTGTCTCTGATTGGCCAGGCTGGGGTCACTCACCCACCCCTAGCATTTGCGGTTGGGGTGCACTCCAGCCAAACCTGGATGGATTGAGAGACGGGCCGTGGTGGTCCCTCAGAGGAAAGCAGTGCTGCTTCCAGAGGCAGGGGAGTAGGTGCTGAGAGGCAGGGAGGGGTTCCTATTCATTCCCTCCCGCATTTTGTGTTACAGAAAGCGCGAGATGGGGCGGGGAAGCTCACCCGCACGCATTCGGGCTCTGTCTTGGACTTGGAGGCCTGACGGCTGTCATCCGTTGGGGACCCTCCGCTCAACTGGGGCCTCTACAGAACTCAGGAAGAAAATTGCCCCTTCCCCAGCAACGTAGACCAGAGGAAGGAAGACAAGCGCTGGAGGAACCCCAGAAAGCCTATTTCCCCTTTTCCTGCTTCCTCACAGAAAAGTCTTATGAGAGGGGAAATTCCACCACCATGCAGACCAGAATAAGAAAACAAAAAAAAACCCAACCAAATGTTTTTGAAATATTTGGAGTGACAGATTCTGAGAGATCACCCAGTTCAATAATCTCCTTCCTATTTTTCATTTGTTTTCAAGGGGACATCGGGGAGAGTCTTTATTAAATTTTAATTACATAAGTGATTCCAAAGACATTGTCTTGTAAAAACAAACATTAGTTGCCTAGTCAGTTAGCAAATATGTATTGGGCCCCTGCTGTGTGCCAGGCCCCGGTCACAGCCATGAACCAGGCAGACCAGGCCACTAAGATCCTTGCCCCGTGGGGGTGGCCTCCTAAGTTGGGAGAGACAGAAAACAAGGGAACCAAAAAATGAAGTCATCTCAGACACGGACAAGTGTCACAAGGAAAATAAAACAGAGAACATGATGAGAAAATGACTAGGGGAGCTACTTTGAGGGTTTTTTCATGTCAAATTTTTAATTTTTAAATTTTACTTAATTCATTTAGTTTGTGAATGGGCAATGAATTCACTTGGTTTGAAATGCAAAGGGTACAAGATGATGTACAGTGAAAAGTCTTTCTCCATCCTCTGTCCTTTGGCCACTCAGTTTTCCATCTTGGGGTGGCTGCTTTAAACAGGGGGATCAGAGAAGGTCTCTGAGAAGGGGACAATTGAGCAGAGAACTAACAGAAAAGGAGACGGCCATGCTAATACCCCAGAGAAGAACATGTCAAGGCAGGCGTAGGGAACAGCCAGTGCGAAGACCTAGAAACAGGATTGAATTTGGCATTTTTAAGATGAGCCTTGGGATCTCTATGACCACCAAATTCCCAACAATCCCACTCCCTATCCCATTGGCAACCCCTGCAATGAATTTGGAGTGGACTTTTCTAGACCTTTTACTCTGCGTGTGCACACACGTATATGGTACCTTAGATGTTTCATTGATTTTTTTTCATACCTATGTCTCATTAAGCAACTTGGGTTTTTTCCACTCAGTAATACATTGAAGATTCCTTCATGTCATTTTCATATCTCATTCTTTTTAGATGCTGCCTACCCTTCTGACAAGGGATGTGCAAGGGTTTCACTCTTTCCTCTTGATGGACATTTATTTCCAATTTCTTGCTCTCACAACGCTGCTGCCATAAAGATCCTTGCTCAGGCTCCTTGTGCACATACGCAAGAGTTCTCTAATGCAGGGGTCTTGCTATGTGTCTTGTATGGCCTTAGAGCCAACAATGGCTTGCACATTTTTAAAGGGTTGTAAGAAAAAATATGGAAACCAGACCCTATGTCTAATATGTCTAAAATATTTACTATCTTCACCTTTCTGGAAAAAGTTTGCTGACTCCTGCCGTAGCACAGGAGGCACCCAGAAGTGTCACCCCTCCCATTTCACAGATGGGAAAGCTGAGAACCAGAGGAGAAAGGACTTGCCCAAGGTCACACAGTCCTGGGGTTCTCATTCAGTTGGCTAAATGTCTGTTGAGCTGCATTCTGGGCCTGGCTGGGTTGGGTGAGCTCCAGAAATCAATTAAGTCTACTCCTGCCACTGAAGGACTCACAGCCTGGAGAGACACACAGAGAAACAATTACAACCTAGGTGGCTCAGGGTTCAAGGTCTGCCAGAGCGGGGTGGAGAAGGGGAGAGGGTCACTCAAGTCTTCAGAGAAGAATTAATGTCAGAGCTTGGCCTAGAAGGACGAAGCATTCCCCAGGTGAAGGACAGCAGGACAGCATCCAGGCAGAGGACCGGGCTGGGACAAAGGCTGGAAAGGTTGATTTTCTCACCTAGTCAGCTGGGCCCTGAGAATTGCTGGTTTTACACTCATCCCTTCGCTTTTGGGGTTCTGGGAGCTCAGGCAAGAGGGCCATAGGCCAGATTTATTCCCTTCCTCTAGGCCTCAGTTTACCCATTTGTAAACGTGGAACTGAAGATTTCCCAGGGCTAGGGCACCTCACTCAGGCCAGGTGGCGCTCTATGGAAGGGGCGCGACCGCGCGAGTGACGTCACTTGGGGCGGGGCCTGCTGGACCCGCTGCGGAAGCCTTGGAGGGCGTCTGGGCTCAGCCCCGAGCCGGCCTGTGGGGGAGGGTGCTCCCGGGAGCCGGCACCTGGGAGGGTCTCCCAACCTCTCTGCCCTTCGGATCGCTGGGATGATCCCGCCGTCCTCCGCCAGCGAAACTGAGTCATAGCGGGGCATGCTGGGGCA